TAGAGAGTATGTTCCTTCCCTTAGCAGATATAGAATAAAGTATCCAAGTTTGATTCCTAAAGATACGTGATCTCATACTTATTACTAAATCATACGTTATTACTAATTATTATACATATCTGAATTTATTAATTGAGTCCTGGCATAGCACTGTAGAATAAGCATTGGACTGTTAGTCACAAAGTCGACCGTTGAAACCCATGAGCCACTCCTCTGACACCCAATATAGGGTTGCTTCTGACACCCAATACAGGGTTGCTATGAGTTGGAATCGACTCAATGGCTTTTAACAACAACAGTTTATTAATGAGCATTAACTAGCTGGTTAATCTTTAATTCATTATTTCTTACTTCAAAACGCAACAGGATACAATTAAAGGCCTTTTACAATGCACAAATATGTACAATACTAATAAGGAATTCAAAAGCTGCAATTGACTAGACAACAGATTGAACACATATACAGTCTTCATTAATTTTTCTTTGTATTGTGACATCATCTTATTCTTTCACCAACCTTTTTATTGTTTTCCATTCTAAGGTAATGTAACTGACTTTAGCTCAAGTCCAACAAGAGAAACTGATCCTCTTGGGAAGCCCAGATTCACAGGTATGTATAAACTGGCTCCAAATCTCATCTTTGACAGAGCTAACTTCAGTGGGTAGATAGCTATTGCTATATAACAAAAACAGCAAACTCTTAGTAGCCAAAAATAATGTCCAAATTCATAGCACAGTATAGAAGACCCTGCATGATCTGCCTGCCCTGCTCTTCCGCACTTAGTTCTCACTGTCCCACCCATGGAAGGACTTGTTAGCCAAGGGACAGCTAATCTAGAATGTACTTGATGAGGTGGTTCTGCTTCAAGCACTGTGAATAGCTGGGCCTCTGGTGAGTTGGGCTCAGGTGTGCTCCACATATGTTCATTCTGGAGCTCAAGATGAAAAATCAACAATAACTCAGGAGAAGCTGCTGCCAGGTCAAGAGAGATGTAAAAGAGGGGCATCCAAACACACAACCACACTGCAAGCTCCTTGTGTCACAATATTCACAGTCTCATAGTCAAATCCAAAATCCAGTATTGGGGAAGTATATTCCTTCCATGGCTATAATTTGAATAATATCTACCATACTACAGTGTTGTTGTTAAGTGCCATCGAGTCGATTCCAACCCATAGCGACCCTGTATAGGGTTTCCAAGGAGCAGCTGGTGAGCTTGAACCACCGACCTTGCAATTCAAGCGGTTTTGCTGTCTGACACATTAGCCCACAGCACCACACCACATTAGGGAGACATAATATGACATTGAGTCAGTAGTCCCCTTTGTGCCTTTTTTTTTTTTTTTTAAATAAACTTTACATTTGAAAAACATTAACATATGTATGATGGTGGTGGTGGTTATGTGTTGTGGAGGTTGACTCATAGCAACCCTGAATAGGGTTTCCAAGGCTGTAAATTGTTACAGGAGTAGAAAACTTAATCTTTCTCCCACAGAAACGCTGGTAGTTTTGAAGTGCTCACTGTGAAATTAGCAGCCCAACTTGTAACCACTACACTATCAGAGCTCCTAACATGGGTATGTTGTTGTTGTTGTGATGTGCCATGGAGTTGGTTCCGACTCATAGCGACCCTGTACAGGGTTTCCGAGGCTGTAAATCTTGACAGGAGCAGAAAGCCTCAACTTTCTTCCGTAGAACAGCTGGTAGTTTTGAACTGTTGACCCTGAGGTTGGCAGCCTGATTCGTAACCACTACGCTACCAGAGCTCCTTAACATGGGTATAGATAGAGCCAAAAAAAACATCATCACCATCAGGATAATGAGCACTTCAATCACCTCTAAAAGTTTCGTCATGTACTTGCACTCTCTGTTACTCCCCTGCGCCTGCCATACACACACACAATTCCCACCCTCAGTGCCTAAGTAATCACAAATCTGCTAAACAATTGATTAGTTTGTTTTTATATAAAAGAATATAAATTTTAGAATTTTCTATAAATGAAAACATACAGTATGAGCTCTCTTTTTGTCTCTTTCACTCACCATCTGTGTGATGGAGATTATTTAGAATTCATCCATGTTACTGCCTTTTTCGTTAGTCCATATCTTTTTATTGCCAACTAATATTCCATTGTGTTAATATACATTATTTTGTTCATTCATTAACCTGCCCAAGACATTTGAATTGTTTGTACCTTTTTACTACTACCAGTAAAGCTGCTATGGACATTCATGCACAAGTCTTTATTACATAGACGTATGTGTTTATCCCTTTTGGATAAATACTTAAGAGGTGAAGCTTATATCATATACAGGTGTATATTTAATATTTTAAGAAACTGCCAAACTATTTTTCAAAGTGAATACCTTCCTATCAGTGATATATGAGAGTTAATTTCTCAACATTCTTACCAACAATATATAGGGTCATTCTTTTTTGTTTTAGTACTTTTAGTAAGTGTGGAGAAGTAGTTCAGCATGGTTTTAACTTGCATCTCCTTAAGAACATCTTTTCATGCACTTACTTGCCATCCATGTATCTTTTTTGGTGAAATACTTGTTCACATTTTTAGTTTGTCTCATTTTATTGGGTTGTTTGTTTACTTATTATTGACTTTTGAGACTGTTTTTCTGGGTACAAGTTCTTTTTCAGATACATGATTTTACAAATATTATCTCTTAGTGTGTGACCTCACTGAGGCAAGATCAACAGCAAGGGTGACATAATGTGAGATTATAAAATAGAGATTAAATTATTGTGCATACTGTCTTCATGTGATATTACCAAATGTCTATATCTTACTCTGTAAAACTGTACAGTGATGACTCCATTTTCTGCACATGACCTTTCCAGTCTCTAGATGATGTGCGGTCAGACAGCTGCTCATCTCTTTCTTTAGCACTTCTGGGCCCCTGCTCACTCAAACTATGCTCAGTGGGCTCTAGTTACTTCTGGATATGAGTCCTGGTATAGTGCTGTAGAATAAACACTGTAATGATAACCACAGAGTCAGCAGTTCAAACCCACCAGCTCTTCTCAGAAACACTACAATGGGTCACAATAGGTTGGAACCAACTTTGGGGCACCCAATAAAACAACAAAACTTAATGTAAAAAGTAAATCAACAACAGTTTCTATATCATTGATCTCAGAGACAGGAATTTGAATTTTCACAGGTCTGATTCATTCACACCACTTCTTTTCTCCATCTACCTGTCAAATGAGACCAGATTCCTTCAAATGTGTATTTATATTTATAAGCTCACCTTCTTCCAAAATGCTAAACCTCAGAGTTCTCTCTTTTAGGTCCACACGTACGATACATCCCAAAGCCTGACAGCCAACCATGTTCCATCACCGACTCCATCAAGTTGTTCCCCAAAGAGGAGGCTACAGAGGGACCTGCCATAGCCCCACCACAGAACCCTCCCACCAACCTCACTGTGGTCACCGTAGAGGGCTGCCCTTCATTTGTCATCTTAGACTGGGAAAAGCCATTAAATGACACTGTCACTGGTAAGATCTTGGCACAAGGATTGTTACTAAGATGGGAAGCTTTGATAATGTAATGAGCTGAAAGTGTGGTACCTTGGATCAAACTCTGACCTATGCAGCATGTTTGAGGAAGAGCAAGTTCTAGCAGACTACTGTTGTCCACAGGGTGTATTATCACAAGAATCATGTAATGGTGAGGGAGGTTGCTCTTTGTCCTTGTTACGGTCTTCCTCTCTTAAAGTTACATTCTTTGCATGTCTTCTCAGATTTCTTTTTCACAACATATTCATTATGAAGAGAATTACAAAAATCATGTTAGCGATTTTGCCACTGCTAATATTGGTTCATTTTCCTGAGTGAGAATGGTTACACAACTCAAAGACTGTAGTCTATGTCAGTAAATGATACATGTAGAAAAGTTGAATTGGTATTTGTTTTGCTGTGCATATTCTCAACAACAAAATAAAAATAAATAATTAAAAAATACATTCTACCAAATTCCAGATTGATGTAATATTTTCAAGTAGATAAAGGCTATTTTAGTCTTTTAGGAAAGAATTTTAAAATATCTATTTTTGCTCAATTTTCTGCTCATCTCAGGAAATTTTTATTCTGTCATCCCCTACTCATTCCTCTAAAAGTGATTATCAAAAATAAGAAGCTCTGAATCATTACTTGAATATGGGATAAGGGAATATGCTATAAGGGAATTTGATTTTTTTCTCTCTACAGTGGACAGAATAGTCAAACAAGAAAAAAAAAAAAAAATAGAAAAACCAACCCTGTTGCTATCAAGCCAATTCTGGCTTATGACAACCTCATGTATTACAGAGTTTCTGCTCCATTGGGTCTTCCTGGATCATAATCTCTAAAGAAAGTAGATCACCAGACTTTCCTTTTATGGTACCACTGAGTAGATTTGAACCACCAACGTTTAAGCCAAAAGTCAAGGACCTATCATTTGTGCCACCCAAATGGAGGAGGAAAAAAGGCAAACAACCTCAATGACCAATAGAACATAGCAAGTAGCATAAGAACATGAGGTCCTTGGTGCCCAGGTCCCTGCCACATTCCTGATGTGGGTAAATGGGAATAGAGGGGCCAGCTAAGAGGATGTCAGGAAGACTAGACCAGTATAATACACTGGCTAGCAAGAGGGTGAGATTCTGGGTCTGCCCAAAACTTTTCTCCTCTGAGTTGACTTTTGGTGAATCCTTCATTTAGTTAACAGATACACACACATCTAATGAATACATTCTAATTCATTGCTTCTACATGTTTCTTCTATGCTAAAGTGGAAGTAGGTACACCTGAGCAACTGGCCATAGCCTAAGTCTTTGGACAACTGAAAGTTGTTAGTTATTCTTTGTTGCTGTGTGATATGCCAAGAGCATGACAACATAGATTAAATTATAGACCAACTGTTGTCAAGATGTGCAAGTTTGGGTAGATGTTATCCCCTTTGAGCCTTAGTTACCTAAGACTTTGTCTCATTGTTATCAATTAGTTGTGATGATAAAATTGCATACATAATTTGAGTGTGCAGTGTAGATTAGAAACTTAAATTATTGTTTTTCACTCATACAAATAGTTGTTGTTAAGTAGGAGTGACATAAAAAGTATTACCATTCTTATTTTAGTGCTGCATTACCCAGACAAAGATGCTCCAATCTTAATGCAATTTCCTGTTAAGTGAATTACCTCACTTGTTGTTGTTGTTAAGTGCCATTGAGTCGGTTCCAACCCATAGACAACAACAAAAATCCTCTGGGGAAAAATGACCAGATGTTCAATGCTACTTCTTTTGGGATCTCTTTATGTCTTTACTGTTAGTGAAATTAACAGTATGAAAAAAAAAAAAAAACCTATACATTATTCTTTATAACTTTTAATTGTGAATTAGGTGAAAGTTTATAGAGAAAATCGTCAGTTTTACATTCAACAAATGATAGAGTTTGTTTCATCGCAATGATTGCACTCGCCTCCGTGTAACAACAGCTATCTGACTTATCAAACAAAATCATAGGTTACCAGCATCCAAAGCAACTGTAGTAGCATATTCTGTCTTCACTGATTCCAGGCTTTAACCTGGTCCAGTAAAGCCAAAGCAGAAATAATCAATGAGCAGCTGTCAAAAGGTTTGGGAGACCTTTCTCAACTGCTGACCATTCCTATCTGAATCTTGCCAATCTATTGGATCAATGTATGTCTAGAATTTCAATCTAAGTTGCTTTTTTTCAAAAAAAAATTGACTTTAATATGCCATTAGCTTCAGGAGCAATCGAATCAATCAGAATAGAAAAACAAATATCTGTTGGGTTTTTCACTTTACAGAATATGAAGTTATATCCAGAGAAAATGGGACCTTCAGTGGGAAGAACAAGTCCATTCAAATTACAAATCAAACCTTCTCCACTGTGGAAAATCTAAAACCAGACACAAGGTAAGCCATCATGCTACTTACTATAGGCGAATGTTGAGAATGCAAAAGTCATTGCCACAATCAAGGATGAAATTAGATTACCCTCTCTGTTATTAGGGAGGTTCTTACAGAATTTCATTCTTTGGCTTTATGTACACACACTAGACACCTCTGAAGTCACATTTTGATGCCCAGCAAATATACAGGATATTGGTGTAATCTGAAGCACTATCAAAATAGCAAGTTAACAGTAGAAACCAAACCACTTTCCATCTAGTTGACTCTAACTCATGATGGCCCTATGTGTGTCAGAATAGAACTGTGTCCCAAAGAATCCTCAGTGGCTGATTTTTCATAAGTAGATCACGAGGCCTTTCTCTTGATGCACCTGTATGTGACCTGGGACCTCCAACTTTCCAGTTAGCAGCTGAATGTGTTGTATCACCCAGGAATTGTAATTAACAATATAGCATAAAAATATAGAAGTCCATTTGTATTAGTTATCTAGGACTGCCATAACAAAGTGGGTAGCTTTAAAAAACAGAAAATTATTGCCTCACTGTTCTGGAGGCTGGTAGTCTGAATTCAGGATGCTGACAGAATCTGTTGAAGGTTCTATAGTAAGATCCTTTCTTGTCTCTCTCAGCTTCTGGTAGCCCAACATTCCTTTTGCTTGTAAATGCATCTTTCCATAGTAGTCCTCTGTCTTTCTATATTTCTTCTCTTTTATGAGGACAGTATGCTCAACGTAAAGAAAACAAAAATCCTCACCACTGGACCAATAAACAACATTCTTATCAATGGAAAAAAGATTAAAGTTGTCAAGGACTTCATTCTTCTTGGATCAACTATCAACGCTCATGGAAGTAGCAGTCAAGAACTCAAACGACGTATTGCATTAGGCAAATCTGCTACAGAAGATCTTCTTAAAGTGTTGAAGAGCAAAGGTATCAGCTTAAGGACTAAGGTGTGCCTGACCCAAACCATGGTATTTTCAGTAACCTCATATGCATGCAAAAGCTGGACAGTGAATAAGGAAGAGCGTAGAAGAATTGATGCTTTTGAGTTATGGTGTTGGAGGAGAATAGTGAAAGTGCCATGGGCTGCTAAAAGAACCAATAGATCCATTTGGAAGAAGTGCAGCCAGTGTGCTCCTTGGAGGCCAAGATGGCCAAACTTCTTCTCTCATACTTTGGATATATTGTCAGGAGGGACCAGTCACTGGAGAAGGATATCATGTTTGGTAAGGTTGAGGGTCAGAGAAAGAGAGGAAGAACCCCAATGAGATGGAATGGCCAAGTGGCAGCATCGATGGACTCAAGCTTGGCAACAGTAGTGAGGTTGGCCCAGGATTGGGCAGTGTTTCGTTCTGCTGTGCATAGGTGGCTAAGAGTCGATACTGACTCGATGACACTTAACCACAACAACAACATGCTCAGATCAGATTAGGACACAGGCTTTTCCTATATAACCTCATGTTAACTAAGAACATCTTCAAAGACTCTGTTGCCAAATAAGGTCACCTATAGGGGTGAGGATTTCAACAAATCTTTTGAGAAGACATAATTCAGTCCATAATACCACTGGTATTAGATATTTATATTAAATGCCAAAATTTAGAGAAGGAAAAGTCCTTCTTTAGAGTTTTCTAAAAGTGCTTGGATCAGAGAGAGGCAACTAGAATGCGCATGATGTAAACTAGATTTGGAACACAGAAGAATTAGACTGGCAAGCTGGAAAAGGAAGGGCAAAAAAAGAAAACCCTTGTGATGTGTAGGTGAAAGCTAATTCTTAAAACACTGCTGACCAGTCCCAGGTACCACATTTCTTTGCTTTGGGACCTTTTATAGATAGAATGTTAGAAGCAATGGTGGCAAGACTTCATGTCATGTTTCTTGGAAATGTTATCAGTAGGGACAATCCTGAAGAAGAATATCATGATTGATAAAGTAGAGGGTCAGCAAAATAGAAACCCCCTCATTGAGATGCATTAAAGAGTGATTGCAGTTATAGGTTCAAAGATAGCACTGATTATGGGATTGTCACAAGACCAGTAGCATTTTGTTCTATTATACATGCGATATCTGTGAGTTGTCAAAGACTAAACAACAACAGATAAAATGAGAAAAGAGTTTTGACAACAGAGTTATGTATCTTTAGCCTGATTCTATAATAGGTTTCCTTAGCATCACTTACTATACATTAATACCAGGTTTGTTCTTATTACTATATCGTTTTGTGATTCTTTCTTAAGATCTAAAACCTCAACATTTTACCAATTCATTGTATTATTGAAAGAAAAATAAAGGCCTTAGATATTTTCAAAAATGCTAAAGGGAAGATCCAAGAAGAGGACTTTTTTTCTTTTTTTAATTTCACCATAATCATCATCAATCCATATTAATTTAATTGAGTTTGGCTGGTATTGAATGTGACATCACAAGGAGCCTAGTTTGGCTCTATTGTAAAGAGAAAAGGACACATCTAATTCATTACAATGACAATGGTTTGCTAGGTGTATAAACCTTCATCTTATACTGGTAACTAATACTTTTTTCACTATTTATTTTTCTAGAAGGTTCTCTGTTTTGAGCTGTAACATGGAAAAAATTGCAGGTGTTAACTTTTGTAAAGGATGTAAATTAGCCAAAATAAGCATATAATTTAATAAAAGCCTATCTGATGACCTTGGTTCTATTTCCATAGTAAGATTGATAGGGAGCAAACCTAGTTTTACCATAAGATATTTTTAGAAAAGGTCATTTCTTCTGGATTTTTTTAAATAAGTGGATTTGAATCAGAGCTTCAAACTGTTTCAAACCAGTTCAATTACTGCCAACAAAGTGAGACTGGAACAGACCTGAGTTTTTTTAAAAATTTCTGTGATCAGGATCAATAACGAGAATGTGAAAAATTACAGATTGATACCCTAGAATTAGAGACACAGAATAAGTCTAGGGAGCACTTTCAGGAGTTTAGTGTGAGCAATTAGATTATTGATAGGACTGTGGAGAGGAACACATTCTAAGTGGCTCTGGTGGCAGCCATTTTTGAGCAGGGCACTGCTGCTTCCCACTGCTCAAAATCCAGCAGTCCAGAGGTTTGGTTGCTATGCAACATGAACAGTGCCCTCGTTTTGTAAGAGGGCTTCAGCCTGTAATTTCTGCTGGATTATCTTTCAGGTTCACTCAAATCTTGAAAATTTGCATCTGTTACAGCTTTGCTTCTTTGGCCATGACTAAACTGGGAAAAAAGTGATTCAAAATCCTGATTTGGACTTACAGAACTTGGATAGTTTTTCCTTTTAATTTCCTGCTTTTTAGTCCACTTAATAAAAGTGGGCTGTGTAGTAATACTGTCTTTGAAAGAAAGACATCCAGTTTCTAAATGTTCCTTGTGTTCCTTTTCTAAATTATGCTGCCCTCCAAGCTTCTCATCATATACCGATTTGCTCATGGCCAGGATGCAGAACACATTCTGGTTATATTCTAAAACAATTTGTTTGTAAATATTTTGCATTTCTATCCAACTAGCATTTTTTAAGTGCCAACTGTGCACCCAATGTTGTGGTTAGTGTTGTGGCTACAAGTATGGATAAACTTGGTGCCTGCCCTTGAAGAGCTTGAGTATAGCAGGATAGGTGAGATTGGATTATTGGTAAGACTGGATTCTTCCAAACGAAGTGGTAAGAGCTCTGGTAGAAGTGTGCACAAGTTGCCGTGGGATCCCAGAGGAGGCTGCATCTAGCAGAGTCTGGGAAATTGGGGATAATTTCCAGAAGAAGATGATGCCTGCTTTGAAGCTTAAGAATGAGTAGGAAGGAGCCAGCCAGGTGATGGTGGTAGTGAAGGGAGTGACAGAAGAGCACGTGTGCTCAAAAGCCTGACATGACCTGCCTGTGTGCAGTGAATGAAACACTGTTTTTACCAATCTGAATGATGAAAACCCATTAGAGGTCGAGGAATAAAGAGTCTTGGCAGCCAGGCTGCAAAGGGCCTTTATCTGCCAAATCAGGAAACTCAGCTAGGAGATATTGAGCCCTGAATGGTGGTAATAGGAGTGTGTCTTACTTAGACTTTCGTTTTAATTGGAACAATTACTTTTGATCCTGTTGTTTTAAGTGCCATTGAGTTGTTTCCAACTCATTACAACACTGTATAGGGTTTCCATGGAGCAGCTGGTGCATTTGAACCTTGTGGTTTGTAGTCCAAGCATATACTACAGTGCCACACCAGGACTACTTACAATGAGTAACAAGTTGCTGAATCTGGAATACATCTTAAAACAAAACAAAACAAAAAAACCTTTTTGTCAATCTCTTGACAAAGGTGCTATTTTTGGCATCTGATCTAATTGGGTAAAGTAGGTGGATTAAAAAAAAGTATCCTTGGCTTGAGGAGCCATCAGATCATGGGGTTCACACTTTCTATTTGCAATTGTCTTAGGACTCATGCTAATTGGTTCTGGAGTTTGCTTCTGATTGAAAGACAGCCATGGGCCTCTTCACCTTCAAGCTAATGTTCACTTATATGATTTAACCAGAATTATATTGCAAGTCTTTTACTGATTTGGTGATAGTTTAAACGTCGCAAATCAGCAGTTTAGAGTAAAAATATTTTCACATTGGGAGTGGGGAGATGGATATAATACACAGAAATGTTAAGATGTTCTGCTGAAGATTGTTCGGTCCACAATATGTGAAACTTGGTTGTGATCAAGTTCTTCAGTAGACCGTAGCCTCAATAAGCCTGTGAATGTGTTTCACTTATGTGTTCACAGAGATAAACATTGGACTGCTAACCACAAAGTCAGTGGTTCAAACCTACCAGCCCCTCCTTGGAAACCCTATACAGGGTCACGCTGAGCCACATCTGACACTGTGGCACTTAGCAACAATAGGAAAGGGGGGAACTTGAGCTGAAATACTGAAATTATGTCTTGACGCCACCAAACAAAATAGCTTAATGAACTGAGGAAGAATAAAGTGAAGTAGGGTTGTTTCCCTTAATAGGTGTGGCGCT